TATAAATGGATCAACTGATAGAATAACATAAAGATGAATACTTGGATAAAAACAAAAAAGAGAAGGTAAGATCTTTTCGTTCAAAGCTTGCGAGGAGGACAAGAGAAGGAAGAGGAGAAGAGAGAGAAGAGAGAGAGAGGAGAGAGAGAGAGAGAGAGAGAGAGAGAGAGAGAGAGAGAGAGAGAGAGAGAGAGAGAGAGAGAGAGAGAGAGAGCAACACAGAGAGAGAGAGAGAGAGAGAGACAGAGAGAGTGAGCAGAGAGAAAGAAGAGAGATAGATAGATAGATAGATAGAGATAGAGATAGATAGAGAAGAGAGAGAGAGAGAGAGAGAGAGAAAGAGTAACAGAGAGAGAGAGAGAGAGAGAGAGACAGAGAGAGTGAGAGAGAGATAAAGATAGATAGATAGATAGATAGATAGAGAGAGAGAAGATGACTTACATGCAAAAAATCAAACAGACATTTAATTCCATTTAGCAGAAGGCATAAATACTGACATGGCGTAAGGTAGTAACAGAATAAAGCTGAGGCGGGGACTGAGGGGAGTTTCCCAGGCGCCTTGACTGGCCTTTGAAGCGGCGTCGCCATCGGAGGCACTCGGGCACGACCTACGCGAAGGGAGTGCCACACGAGGTCGCACGCCCTAGTGCCAAACTTTGAAGCAACTGAGTGAGCCAAATCTTCTGAATGTTGTTGCCTTGGCCGCTGCCTCCCTCTGTTCTCCTCCATGAACGAATATTAAGCTTATTCGCATATTCCATTTTCCCGCGCCACCGCCCCCGGGGTCCTCCTCCGACGCCGCGCCCTATGATCCATTGCGAAACTTTCGGGCTCGAACTCCGCGCGGCTGTCTAGGCACTATTCATACATACGTACATGCATAGATGCATACATACAGACATACATGTATGCATACACACATACATACAAAGATACATACAAACAAACTTACATACATACATATGTGTACTTACACACAACACACACACAGACGTGCACGTACACAATCCGAGAGGACGGGGAGCGACGCCTTTCCACTCGTGAAAGGGCGCGGGCCTCGAGTCTCACGGAAACTCAGGCCGTGTTTAGAGTTCCACTAAAAGCAGAGCCACTTCCTCCCGTGAATAACCTTCCCAATAAGGGTTTTTACATTCTTATGTTTTTTGCGAGCTGCCCGGTGGCGCAGTTGGCTCTTTTTTAATAGTTTTTATTCCTTTTCCTCTTTCTCTTCATCCTCTTTTTGCCTCACAAACCTCACTCTCTGCTTCCTCGCTTTGTATATTCTTTTCCCTCTGTCTGTATCTGTTTCGTTCTCTGCGGTGTAAATATGTTTCTCTCTTCGGTGTTTCCCAATCCCTCAAAAATCAGATTTTTCTGGACATCTTTCAGGCTGTCGCTGAAGAATCCACTGATGATCAGCCTTCGCCCACCGCCCTCCCACTGCGCTCAGAGCGAGAGTCGTATATTGCCATACAGATATACAGGGAGAGAGAGAGAGAGAAGAAGAGAGACAGATGAGAGAGGAGAAGAGAGAGACGAGAGAGAGAGAGAGAGAGAGAGAGAGAAGAGAGATGAGAAGAGGAGACAAGACAGCAGACAGACAGAGACAAAGACAGAAGAGAAGGCGCAGATGAGAGAGAGAGAGAGAGCAGAGACGAGAGAAGAGAGAGAGAGAAGAGAGAGAGAGAGAGAGAGGAGAGAGAGTAGAAATCAGAGAGAGACGAGAAGAGAGAGAGAGGAGAGAGAGAGAGAAGACAAGAAGAAAGAGGAGAGAGAGAGAGAGAGAGAGAGGAGAGAAGGAGCACACGAGCACAGACAGACAGAACAGAGACAAAACAGAGAGGAGACGAGAGGGAGAGCGAGAGAGAGAGACGAGAGAGAGAGAGAAGGAGAGAGAAGAGAGAGAGAGAGAGAGAAAAGAGAGAGAGAGAGATGGAATGGCAAGAGATATATAGTTAGAAAAAAAGAGAAAAGAGTAAGAAAGAAGAGAGAGGAAGAAGAAGAAAAAAGAAGCCACGCAAGAGAGAGAGAGGAAGAGAGAGAGAGAGAGAGAGAGAGAGAGAAGAGAGGCAGAGTAAGAGCGAGCGATGCGACGAACCACTATATCAGGACGGATTCACAACAACTTCCCGGCCACCTCTGCGCGCCATGGTATGGGGAAGATACGAACGCTATACACATCAATAAATCTACCATAAACGCGATTACGACTCCTCCCCAGCGCCAACAGAACGCGTCCATCTATTGGGCAATGCAACGGTATAACTATCAACCCTTAATTG